CACGGAATTGATAGTGCCTTGCTATAAGTAGGACAGCTAAGATGGGCAAGCGCTGCAAGTTCGCACGTCCCAGGTTAGGCAGGTTATATTACTCCTTCGGCCTCCTGATGATAATTATACTCTAAAGCAGCCCCAAACCCTATTCAAATTATGAAGGCCCCTAGATTAGTTAGGTTCAACCTTGTTTAGGCCTCCTCACGAGACTGGGGCCTGCTGAGATTCGTCTGACTCCCGCTGGCAATTCAAGTGAGGTCACAGAGCCATAGGCAACACAGCCGATCAAAGAGCTCATCCCTTCATACGGCATCCCAAGAGGGACGGCGGATTTAAGAACGGCCGGGGGTGTTGCCAGAATCATTTTCCAAAGATGCCATGTTGCGGCGCCTCGCCGGACGAATCTGCATTGGCAGACTACGCGAAGCGCTTGCGCAACCAGGGGGACGGAGGCAGTCCAGACTTCACGGCGTCGCCTTTGCTATTCCCAATGTACACCGTGCCTGTGGAAGCCTTATTGCAGATGACAGAGAATGAGCCCCATGAAGTTCTGAAGGCCAAAGGTGTGGCTGTGAAGTTCAAGGAGGGCATGGGCAATGCCGTGTTTGTATCGCACCAGTGGGTGGGGGACAACCATCCAGATCCTGAGTTCAAGCAACTGCGAGTCTTGCAAGATGCGCTGAGACACCTTTTGTGCGAGATGGGGCACGTGCCCATGGATATGTTCACAGAGCTTTTGGTACCCAGGTCGAAACGCTTGCGCTTGAAGGAGCTGCGATCCGCACCACTCTTTATCTGGTTCGACTACTTTTCGTGCCCGCAGCTCTTGGGGCAAGGTCCTGCGCAAGGTTCGGACAGCGACCTTTCCAAGGCCATCAACAGCATCCCAGCCTACGTTGCAAAGTGTCGCTTCTTCTTCGCCCTCTGTCCTGTGGTCCCACAAGTAAGCCTTGGCAGCGTGTTCACGCCAATGACATGGGGAGCCCGTGGATGGTGCAGGGTCGAAAGAGTTTGCCGCGAGCTGTCGAAAGATCACACCTGGGTCATGATCAAGAGTGGCAAGGAGATGGAGTTGATCTCATCCTCCGTCGCCTTCCCAGGGGGGTCTGCAGGCGAGGGCCTCTTTACTGTCGCAGAGGATCGCAACAAGCTTCTAGGTATGCCCTTGGGACATTTTATATTTTCCCGTATTGGGCCTAAGAGGATCTTATCTACGAATATTTGTCAAAGGCTTTAAAGGACCAACCTAGGCTTGCTCCAGTCCTCGAGGGAGTGCTCATGCGAAAGATGATGTTCTTGCTCGCTAAGCAGGATCCTGGGTTCAACTAATATAGTCCGTATTATCGTTAAAGTATAATATACCCCAAAACCCTATTCCAATTAGTATGGCCCCTACATTAAATTCCTTCAACACGAACCCAGGATCTGGTGGCCTTCCGGATACTGTACAACATGCAAAGTGTCCACTTGCGAGGCTTCCCTACGGCAACGATCGTGCGCGACTTGGTGCCCGGCTTCGACTCTGATGATCCCCTACAAAACGGTTCTCCAAGCCAAGAGGTAGATCGTTTCCTGTATCAGAATGGATTACCCAACGTTCACGCTTTCGACAAGGCCGGGTGGGCACCGTTGCACTATGCAGCTTTAGGTGGGAACCCGGACTTGCTAAGAGCTTTGTTGGAGCAGCGGGTCGACGTGAACTGCTGGACCACGAAGCTAGGCTCTTCAGTAGTATGGTTTTCTTTCCATAACAAAAGAACACACACACACACACATATAT